TGTTGAAAAAAAATTTGAAATCAGCATTTTGGAAATATTGCTATACTTCGTTACCATAATTTCGGCGTGACAACCCCTTTTGGGCTTTAACTTTTTCAATTTTCCTCCTTTCCTCTTTTTTTTTTTTTGGTCATAATTTTGCATCCAGTCCCTTTTAAAATAGTGAAATCCCTTTCTATGCAAGCAATCCACTTGAAGTTGAGTCGACTCCTAGTTCTTGCTCCAGTGAACTTGGTCAACAAGATTTTCTGTGTTAAACGTTCTTTGTTCACTCCAATAACGTGGCCACAGCCCATTTAATTCTTTGGAATGTTATATATTTGACAGCATCAGTTCTCTGAAAGCACGGTAGAATTCCAAATTTGAGCATCTGTACCCGAATTTCATCAACTTGAGTTTCTCCAAAAATGGCTCTTAGGATCCGACGCTCAAAGACAATAAGGGTATTTTCATCATTTTGTATCATTGTCAAAGTTTCTGATGAGTATGCGAGTATACACTGCTGGCCACCGTAAATGCAACACCCTGAAGGAAGCACGCAAATAATATGAAATTTACAACATGCATTAGCGGAGGGGAGATATGCAAATGATAAGAATTTCAGCGTAGACACACATCACGCATGCCTGTGGCGCCACCTAAAAGAGCTATTTAAGCCTTGGAGATTTCGACGATTTCATGTTCGGCAATTGTCTTTTTCTTGTGGTTTTTTCAAAAAACGATCAGTTATGTCTCGTAGAAAACAGCGATCAGCTTTTGATCAAGTATACGAGTTCGACAGAGGAAGGATAGTGGCCTACCGAGATTGTGGATTACCTTTCACGGAAATCGATAGTCGTCTTGAACGAAACCAAACAACTGTAATGCGGATATGTGACCGTTGGATGCAAGAGGGTACGACGGACCGACGTGGTCGATCGCATCCACCTCAGTGCACCACATCAGCTGAGGACAGGCAAATTGTGCACATGGCAGTGACGGATCGCTCAGTCACATCACGAACCATAGCCCAGCACATTAAGTCTGTAACACATCATTCAGTGTCTACGTGTGCCATTTGACGCCGTTTACAACAGAGTGGTCTGTCCGCAAGACGTCCATTGCTTGGTCTACCTTTGACGCAGAACCACAGACGTCTCCGCCGCCAATAGTGCGATGAAAGAAGGATGTGGGTGGCAGAATGGAATGAAGTTGTCGTTATTGACGAGTCACGCATCTGTCTGCAACACCACGATGGTCGGATTCGAGTCTGGAGACACCGTGGAGAGAGAATGCTGAACAGCTGCGTTATGCACCGACACACTGATCCTGCACCGGGTATTATGATATGGGCGGTATTGGATATTACTCTCGCACTCCTCTAAAACGCATTGCCGGTACTTTAAACAGCCAGCGTTAAATCTGCGAGGTTTTGGAGCCAGTTGTCCTTCCTTACCTTCAGGGCTTGGCCACAGCCATATTCAAGAGGATAATGCGTCCAAAGGTTCTTCGTCAATCACCAGATTGAATTGCTTCCCTGGCCGGCTCGCTCTCCGGGTCTTTCGCTGATAGAAAACATGTGGTCCATGGTTGCTCACCGATTGACCCAGATTACACCCCCAGCTGCCACACCAGAACAACTTTGGCAAAGTGTGGAAGCTGCTTAGTCTGTTGTACCCCAAGAACACATCCAAAGTCTCTTTGAATCAATGCCGAGGCGTGTGGCAGCGGTGATCTCCAAAAATGACGACTACTCTCTCTTTGGCTACTCATTCTGGCAGGAACCACACTTCACAGAAGTCTATAAATTTAATCATTTGATACTTGGTCAACATGTTATCTAGAAAATAAATTTTGTTGTGCTATCTCTTGTCTTTCTTGGTGTTGCATTTACGGTGGCCAGCAGTGTAGATCTATACAGGGTGCGGCGAAAAAACCCGGACAAACAATTTTTTCAACACTTTTATAAGAAGTTAAGAAATTAACAAAATATAACAACTAATAATAAGAGTACACTCGTACTAATAAATAATTTTATTTGTTTCAAAGTGACCGCCGTTTGCAGCAATGCAGAGGCGCAAACGCTTGCAGAAATTTTCAACAATGAGCCTCAAGTCTTTTACTTTTAATCTATCCCATTCCCGCAGAAACAATTGCTTTAGAGAGTCCAAAGTTTCATATTGTTTAGTGCAGTCTCTGGACTCAAAAATGGACCATACACTGTAATCCATGAGATTGAGATCCAGCGAGTAGGGTAGCTATTCTTCACATGATATCCTGTTAGGAAAATTTGCCTTGCACCACTCTTGAGTCTTTTTGGCCTTGTGAGGTGGTGCAGAGTCTTGTTGAAACGTCCACTTTGCATTTCCGAAATGCTTTTGGGCCTACGTAAGTACAACAGCTTCAAGAATGTCCCTCTGATACAGTTTTTGATTGATTTTAACGCCCTCTTTCACAAAAATCAAAGGAGTTTTACCACTTGCGCAAATTCCGCCCCATACCATGACCGACTTTGGATATTGGCGATATTCAACAATACCGAATGCTTGGAGCGTCCACAAACCAGATTCAATCGTTTTGGGAGTTATGAACTTGTTGAACCGCAAAGAGCCTCTCATCAGTGAAAAGGAATCTCTCCCATCGCTGACTTGCAGCCCGTCTCAAAAGTTTTCGGCATCTTTGGAGCCGTACGAGTATGTTTTTTTTCATTGAGGAGCTGAAATTTTCGCAACTTGTAAGGCTTCAGTCCAAACTCCGTTTTTGCAATTCGTCTCACCGATCTGAGACATATTCTCATGTCACGAGCGATTTTCTCATGGAAACCATCGGATTCCTCTGGACTCGCTTTTTGATAGCCTTACGATTCATTGAAGTGTTTATAGTGCATTTTCGCCCACTTCCTGGGCGTCTACCATTATTGCCAAGCTCTTTGAAACGGCAAATTGCATCAAACACTGTTTGCCGAGGTACAAAAAGCAAATGAACGACTTCATACTTTCGTTTCATTTGCTGAAACAACTCTAAAATAGCTCGACATTATCAAAAACACTTAAATTAAAGTTCAAACTAAGAAATGTATTAAAAATATTTTATTATTAAAGTGGTTGATAAAGAAACATGAAAATACAGATTAAAAGGAAATTTGTTAATTATTCTAGGAGGCAAGAAATTTGTCCGGGTTTTTTTGACGCACCCTGTAATTAGATATTTATATATTTGTAGTTAAATTTTCCTTTCAAATAAATTGGATCTTAAATACCTCCTCAAACCGTGAAAGCATCTAATGGCAGCTCCAATTATCCTCCGTATTTTAAGTATGATACTGTTATAAATGTTAACTTCAGAGCCCAGATAAATAAAGCTATCAACTTTTAAAAATTTATAATTACCTATTTACATGCGAGACCCAGTGCACTGATTTATTTAGTTTTTTCCTGGTTAACAGAAAGGTGCATTTTACCTGCCTCTTTTTGCAGGGCTAGGAAGGTGCCTTTCAGATCAGTGGGAATTCTTACAACAATATGTATATTTTCGGTAAATGCAAAAATTTTCACGGATTTAAAAATATTTTCCCTGTTGTTGATCTTTGAGTCACGAATGACCTCCAACGCCATGACCATAATTTGGAATAGTATTTGCCATTTCACGACTCCAGGGAAAGTGCTGAAAATAAGAAACATCTTGGAAAACCGACCACAAATAGAATACCCGAAGAAACTGAGTATACCGAAGTGTTTGTTCACCTGATCAAAATTTCAGCAAAGAGTACTACGAAGTAATTTCAAATCGTTGAGGAAGGAAGTCCAGCAATACGTGTGTGACTGCAATTTCAGAAGGAAGAGCGTTAGCTTCTACTGCAGGATTACTATGCTATCAAACGGAGGTGGTTCTTGACCAAACTTGTGATATTTTGTAGAGGTTATTCTCTTTTCCAACAATCTGTATCCTCCTGACTATTCACTTTCTTCAAACTCTAGTCCTCCCTGAATAGGCAGTATCTCAGTGCGTACAGGACGTTTTCTACATTTTCTAAATTTCAAAGAATGTTTTCACACAATTATAACACGTTTCAGGAAATTGTGCAGTTGTACCCAAAAGTATACAGTTTCCTGGGGTGATTGCGTTTTTTGAAAGCTTTTAAACGTAAATTCTACTTTTATTACTGGTTTCGTTGTACTAGCTCATCCCATTATTTTAATACGCACACTACACTTAATGTTTGTACTTGCAGTTTAATATTCAGATAAACAACAATAATAGATATAACTGATTGGAAAGAACACTATACTTTATCCTATAAAGTAGTAAGCAATTTTATATGATAATCACTGGATTTTATATAGAAAATATACTGATAATTCCTGGAACATAGTGTCATTTTTTTTCTTTGCTATCTAAAACATAAAATTGATAGAATCAATAAACAAAGTAAAATACGTGGAACAATCTAAAGGGTTTAAAATTATTATTGCAGTTCGGGAAAGAAATTTTCCAAAAGCATAGTGAAATTATGTTACTTGTTACAGCAACCTAAAAACTGGCGGCACTTTGATTTACACAGTAACTGATTTTTGCTACAAGCATACTTAATCCTGGTACATGTTGTCACATTTTCAGAAAACCCTGTCCAGTGCCAAGAGGTTGTTTTAAGGGTGCTTGGAGTAAAGATATTTATACAGTAGGAGTACCCCATTTTTTAAAAAAATCTCTCCCTCTATATAGAAACAAGTAATATAAAAAAATAAATCAATTCCTACTTAGGTCAACAAAGAAACATTTTATTTGAGTTACTTTTTATTAAATAGTTACAATTAATATAAATATCTATACATACATAGGAGAGAATCACAATATTGTGACAAAAATAGAAAGCGATTTCCTTCCAATATTTTCCCCATTTTCCTTTCTATATATGGTGTGGGACTATTTTTTTTTGTTTCTTACTATTATTACCATTCATTAAATTTAATTACTCTAATAAAATAGTATAGTAAAAAAGAAATCACATTCTCAGGAATGACCTCTTCAGCTGGGATTCGAACCCAGGATCTTTGGACTAGAAGTCCAACGTGCTTTCTTCAACATGGCACGTGACGTGATAGCACAAGCTTGAGGTAAGGCTTGAGAAAAAGGTTTTGAAGTTCCTACTGTTTTGTGGAGGGTTTGCACACACTTTTTGTTTGATGTATCCCCAGAGAAAGTGTGTCCAATGGGTTTTGTCTAAATCTCATTACTCTACAATAATTTTTCTTGCTGTTGGAATTTTTTTCCCACCAGTACATAGTATAAATGAAAAAAATACACATACAAAGAAAAACAATGTTCTTTTCATAAAAAAAAAGAAGTTGCCTTTTTTTATTTATTCATTTCACTGAATAAGATGCCACTCGTAAAAATGTTTCATTTGCAAATGTAGTCGATGACTTCTTAATCGATCCCAAGGGACCAGAAATGTTGGCTGTATTACAAAATGAGAGGTTAAACTGAATTATACAGAGAAAAATGTGAGAGATGGAAGTATCATAAAGACGAACAATATTTACAATGGAACTTATCGCTGAATACCACATTTATAGCGAAAAACTTTCATGTGAGTGTAAAAAAAGTCTGAATTAATAAAGCTCATTGAATTTTTGGGGGTATATATAGTAAAAACACTTGTGTACGAGACACTTGTGGGCTCCTTGAAAGGTCTTACCGAGATAATTATTGATGAAGTAGATAATAAAAACGTCAATTTCTGAGAGTATTATTCTTTGATTTACGGGTGGGAATTCTGCAAAGCATCCTTGGACGCCAATTCGGACACACACTTTGAACCTTCTTATTTGAATGGGATTGTACATCTTGTAAAGAATTAAGAACCTAAACGAAATGTTCTTAGCGAATGAAACGAATGAGTGTGCAGTATCCATAGAAATTGATCAGTCCATATTACTCAACGAAGACACAATTTTGAATATAGTAATATTTAATATGACTGAACTTGCCGTCATGCGGCCTACATTCTACAAAACAAGTTACACACTAACAATATTTACATTTTAGATACTGAGGTGCGCACAGCAGCGCCCTCGAGTGGCCAATATTTCGGCACACACCCCGCCGGTGAACAGAATGTTCACCCAGTGATTATCAAACAAAAATTAATACAAACAATTATTCAAACACAATTCTAACAAAGACTTAACACTGAAACAATGCTACTAATCAAATTTTAAATTTTTCATATTACAAAGAAAAAAGTAAATATATATTAAAATACACAAATATAATGAAATTTAAAGTTGACAATAAATCTTCAATTTACAAATTAGAAAATATTAGGCTACATACCTCAAGATCTCACAACAAATAAATTTAACAGAGATTAATTAATAATGTGCTATCTCCTAACATTAATCTGAAAAAATAGAAACAAAATTAGTTCAAATATTATTCAAGTTCTAAAGGGTACAACAATTGAATGGGTTTTTTGAAGAGACCTTTAGAAGTTTTTACAAGACAAGATCTAACATTATTGTCTCTTCCAATAAATATCTCCTTGATTATTCCAAGTTCCCACAATAATTTTGATTTTACATTTCCTTCAACCAGAACTATGTCATTTAATTTTAAATTTTTATGAACAGATGGTGTTTTAAAATGATTAACTGTTTTTAACTGGAGTAAATACTGTTCTTTCCAGCGTCTCCAAAGTTGTTTTAAAAGAAGAGTTCGGTAAGTCTTTCTTTTTTTTGTACGACTCTCTTGCCGTAGTGGCGTCGATCAGTTCAATGAAATGTATAGGATATTTAGAGTCACCATAACCTAACTCGAGGAAGTGGGCCGGTGTGAGTGGTTCCGGCTCTCCTGGATCGTTTTCCACGTATGTCAGTGGTCGATGATTGACGATCACTTCAACTTCTGAAAGTATCGTTGAAAGTTCTTCAAACATTAGAAGGGCTTTGCCAAGTATTTTACGCAAAGGATCCTTTATAGTCTTAACAAGACGTTCGTAAAATCCACCCCACCAAGGGGCACGTTCAACTATGAACTTCCAGTGGATACCTTTATCTGCGACAAAATTTTGAAATTCACTGTCCTTCAAGATGTTGGCAAAATATGCTAGTTCCTTTTCAGCAGCTTTAAATGTACGAGCATTATCTGAGTATATTACTTTGCAATTTCCTCTACGAGCGAGGAATCTCCGTAAAGCAAGTAAAAAACACTTTGTGGACATGTCTGATACAAGTTCTAAGTGTACGGCACGAGTGACCGCACATGTAAACAAAGGAACATAAGACTTATGAGTCTCTTGATTGTCCTTAACAAGTATTGCACCTGTAAAATCAATTCCTACGATTTGAAATGGAGGGGATTGGGTGATTCTATCTCGAGGCAACTGACCACTCAACTGGTCAGCTGGTTTAGCGTTGTATTTTTTGCAAATGAGACAAATTCGAATCATTATTTTCACTAACTGACGACCTTTAGGTATCCAATAATTTTTTCGAAGTTGAGTTAAAGTTGCAGATACGCCACAATGACCAATTCGTTCATGTTCCCTAATAACAAGTAATTCTGTAAATTTACAGTGTCGGGGAAGGATAACAGGATGCTTTTCGCCAAAGCATAAGTCTGCTTCAAGCAACCGTCCAGTAATTCTTAGTAAATTGTCTTCACCCAAATAAGGCACTAAACTCTTTATTTCAGAGCTACATCGAAGTTGTTCGTTGCGTTTTAAGGTTAATATCTCAGCTGAATAAAATTCGTATTGAACATATTTAAGCCAAAAATATTCAGCATTTTGTATTTCATCTGCAGTAATATAGAAGTTCATTGATTTATTAACGATTCTAGTATTGTTCACAAATCGGAAGACCCAAGCAGTCACTTTCAAAAGTTTTTTAAGGCTACTGAATCGATTTATGTCAACAAGAGATTCCCTCTGTTGGGTGACTGCCACATGCACACTAGAACGATATTCTAATTCTTCCGAGCAGAGTTCCGAATCTAAAATATCTCGTTGACGATTTGGCCAATGATCGGGTGCTAGTTTAAGCCAAGGTGGGCCGTGCCACCACAGCTCATTCTGTGCTAATTTGACGGCAGATGTACCACGCGAAATGAGATCTGCAGGATTGTCCTTTCCTGGACAGTGTCCCCACTGGCTCGGATCAGAGAGCAACTGTATCTCTTGAACACGATTTTTAATGTACGGTTTGAATGCTGAAGAATCGCCACATATCCAGTAGTACGAAATGAGAGAATCAGTCCAATAATATATATTGGCATTAAACTTTAGACATGATGACACCTGTTTGGCCAACCTAGCTGACAATAGGGCTGCTGTCAGTTCAAGACGAGGAAGCGTCAATGATTTCAAAGGTGCCACACGACTTTTTGAGCAAATGAAACTCGTTTCGATTTTGTTATTGCAAGTAACAAATCGCAAGTATAGTATTGTTCCATAGGCTGACTTGCTCGCGTCTGAGAAACAATGTATATCAACACTTGATAATTCTTGATCTACGTCCCCTAAATAGAACCGTGGTATTTTTATCTCAGTCAAGCCCTCAGCTTCGCTACTCCACTGCTGCCACTTGTGTCGTAGCTTTGGGGGAAGTTCAGAGTCCCAGTCTACTCATAGAGTCCAAAGATCTTGAAGAAGACACTTCAATTTGATAACGAATGGGCCAAGAATTCCAATGGGGTCGAAGATGCGACCAACCACACTCAGAATAAATCTCTTAGACTCTGTTTTACGTGACATAAATTTCAATAAATCCTTTGGATCGAAATAAATTAAATCCTTTTCTGAATCCCAAGCGAGTCCTAAAACCTTAATCGGTGGTTTAAGATCGGTGGCACTAGTTTCAGAGAATTCTGTTTCGACACCTTCTTGCTGCCATAACAAATAAAGTTGTTTTGAATTAGTTCTCCATTTGCGCAACAACATGCTCGCGTCACTGAATATTTGCAAACACTCCAAGGTAGTACGTAGAGCGTCCGGAACATCATTTCTACCACAAATGAAGTCATCAACATAAATGGAGCTATTTAGCAAGTCAAATGTATGAGGATATTGTTCTTTGTACTTCTTAAAATGATGTTTTAAAGTTGCTGCGAGAAGGTATGGACTAGGTCTAAGTCCAAAAAGGACTCTCGTGAAATTTAGAACGTATGGATTGTTATTCAAATTATCAGTCCAGAAGAAACGTGTAAATTCTCGATCACGAAGGTCCAATTCAATTTGAAGAAAAGCCGATTTTACATCAGCTGTAAAGGCTACAGGGTTTTTTCGGAACCGTAAGAGAAGTTCTAACATATTTGGGTGCAAATTTGGTCCCGTATATAAACTTTGGTTCAACGATGAATGTCCGTCTTCGTGAGCCGAACCATCAAACACAATGCGAAGACGGCTTGTGGTTTTGTCGCTACGTATCACCGCATGATGGGGTAGGTAAAATCCCTGACTATCCGATAAAGAATCACAAGAAGTACGCTCAACAATACCTTCCCTAACATAGTTATCGATTACATCTTTATACTCACAGAACAACTCGTGATCCCATTTAAACCTACGGACCAACCCCTCAAACGTTTACGTGCAACAGTTTTATTATTCTGTAAAACCTCTCTCATTCCTGGTTTCCATGGCAAACTAACACGATATCGACCATCTACAAAACAAACTGATTTATCAAATTCACTAAGTATCTCTTCATCTCCATTACCTAAAGACACCGAATCATTGCCACGTATTCCTAAACTTTCTATCTCCCAGAATCTCCTTAGCTCAGCTGAAATAGATTCCTCTTCACTGTGAATCAAATGTACCGAAGTACAATTACTCTTCTCATCACACTTTCCCTGAAGAGACCATCCTAAACTAGTTTCTACTGCAACCAATGACGAATCAAGTCTTTTTATCCGATGTGTTAAAGACCAATAAAAATCGGAACCTATTAACAATGAAATTTCACAGTTCTCAGAAGATTCACTACAATTGAATGTTAGTCTGAATCCCTTTGTCTCCATTTCTGTCCATACATCTGGGCTAAGGCAGGCTAAGTGTTGCCTTTGAAATTTCCTCAATTTCCAATGCCTCA